CCAGGTGTTCTTCCTTGATCTCCAAAAGTGAGTCACGCAGCACTCCCACGCCATCCAGGCACCGTGGCCATAGTGTAATTCCTACTCACTACAGGCAGCACCACCAGAAACTCAGCCCGTGGGAAGCAGTGAATTCATCCTGAAAAGGAAGTTTGCCATTACACAGAACAAAACGGCCAATACGCAGGAAGTCCTCGACTCATTTGAATGACAAATAGTGATGCGTGATGTATTTATAAAAGGAGGAGGAAAAGACTCAGAACTCAGACTAATCGCTTTCAACTCAGACTGAGTGCTGACATTGTTTACCAGAATGAGATTCTTGGTCCATTTTGGCTACTGCAGCAAAATGCCATAGACAACAGGGTTTATCTTCCACATTTCTGGACACTGGAATGTCTAACACAGAAGTGCTGGCAGAGTCAGTATCCGATGAGAAGCTGCTTCCTGTCTCATTTCTAGCCGACTCCCATGTCCTCACAAGATGAAGGCCAGGAGCTTCCTGAGATCTGGACCCAAGATGGTGACTACACAGCTCAGTCTGACATAGACTTGGCTTCCAAATTCTTCTAAGAAATGTACAGATAACTTTTCTTTTGCCATTGTTAGCATGCTAGATGATGCTTATATGACTAGAGAGATCTCATATCTACTTACATATTCTTTGTGGTCATGAAGTCTCCCCAGTTTCCCTAGCTGTACATTTTTGTGACATTACGTATTTGGAGGATTACATATTTAACTCTGGAAGCCATTGTAGATGAACAGTATATTGACATCATTATGGCTACAATGTGACTATTCTCTAAATGTTATCTTTCTCAGTACAGGTACAGCAAAGTGGTGAAAAATTTGAAATTTCACAGTGTAAACATTTTCTGACATTAGACAAACTGGGAAGGACAAAGTGATGATCCAAAAGACAGGCGGTGCTCTCTCTGTGACTACATTTAGTGTGAAGACACACCAACGGAAGTCAGTGCTTGTTGTTACTGTGGATTATTAATATTCTCCGTGATGAATATCTCTTATACATTCTCATGTCTTTTTAATATGGTTATTCACTGTAGCAGTGGGGAAAGTAATCAGTTCTTCCAGCGTGATTTAAAACAAGATCATATGCCATAAGTTTACAGCCTTATGACAAAAATTAAGTAGACAGAATAAAAGTTTATGGAGTGCTAGGTGTGGCACATACATCTGTAATCCCAGCACTTGGGAGGCCAAGGCAAGAGGCTCACTGCAAGTCTGAGGCCAGCCTGGACAACACAACAAGATCCTGTCTCAAAAAACAAAAAAGCAGTTTTCATACTAATATTTGATAAAGTGGTGGCATTATAGTTTTGGCTTTATCATAACGAAGTAGTTTCAAAATAAATGAAACTGATTCCTCTGTAATACATCATCATCTTTCTGGCAGCTTTTAATGATAAATAAGGTTTTAAATGAGTTACTCAAATTTTATTTAAATCACTCATATTTACTATGGCTTCATTAAGTATTCTTTTAATAAGGTAGAAATTTTTCCATCAGAGAAATAAAAGACACTTGAAGAACACTCTGATAATTTCCTTCCATTCACTAAGTCCTAATAAAACATTGACAAGCAAAGTCACCTAGATCATTAATTGGGAAGCAAAACTTCTGACTCTGGGATATTGCTTCAATTCTGATCAACTCAATACAGAAAAAAACACAGTAATAACTATCACTTGACAACTACCAGGCCATGCCTCCGTTTCCATGGAGACACAGCCGCTTGATTCTCTCGCCTCACAGTCGCTTTTTAAAAAATCTACTCCGAGAAGCTCTCTTTGGGTGGCTGGACTCTGTGCACCTGCGGGTGCTGTGATGACTGTGGCCTCGGGACTTATTCCCGACAGGTCACTTCCCGTGCCACTCACCGTGCTCCTCCTGTCCCCTCCCTCCTGTCTTCCCTGGGGAGGGCACCGTTCCTCTGCAGGTCTAGTTCATGCTCCCGGTAGGCAGCACTGGCCTGTTGACAGCACACACCTGTCTGCCTTTCCCCATCATTTTCAAGCCTGCCCATGCTACCCTGCCTTTTAGCATGGCAGCGGCCAGGTTGGGGGGGTGGGGACTTCCCTGACTCACAGCCGGGCACCCTGCTGCCCCTGGCAGGCTGCAGCCCTTCCAGCTCTGTGCCCACACTGGCACCCTCTGCACAGCCAGGAATCGCGTCTTGGAAGAGCACACAGTCCTGGGCCTCACCCCACCCACCCTGTGTGCCCTGGGGTGTGAGGCACTCTGCTCAGCCCATCCCACCCCACCTCACACCCCACAGCCACAGCCTGCGGGTGGGAGCCAAGAGCTCTGCCTGCTCGGCTGGCTGCCGCCTCACCCCACCCCAGCACATCAGCACTTCAGTTCTGGAATCATTGCGGTGTATTTCCACTTGGATTGGTCCTTTACTATTTAAACTTTAGCAAGTTATTTACCCACCCTAACTTCGCTCACCTCAAAGTCTCCAAGATGTGTTTCTCTTCTTGTTCAAATACTTTACCCTAGAGCAGAAATTGGCAAGGCTTTTTTTTTTTTTCCTCTAGAGGGCCAGACAGTAAATACTTCAGATTTTGGAGCATATAGTGCTGCACAACTCCTTAGCCTTCCATTACAGGCGGAAAGAAGGCAGGGACCCTATGGAAATGAATAGCAGAACTCTCTCCCAATAAAACTTTATTTGCAAGAGCACTGGTATGAAGTTTGGCACTGTCATCCATGATTGCTGATCTTGGGCTAGAACAGTTTTAAAAGGAACATAGTGTAAAGTCTGTTGAAGCACTGCGCAGGAGGATTTCTTTCTCACGCATTCATGTGATAACGCACCTGGAAAGAATGCAGGATCTAGTATGCTTTTACCATCACTCTAAAAATAGAATCTCCAGCTGTAGGAGTGCAACAGGGTGGTAGAAATGTGCTTGGCCTGTGTGACTCCTGGGTTCAGTCCTCTCCACCAAAAAGTAAATATAAAAAATGTAGTATTCCACTCTCCGGCATAGCTACTGAGCAGCCTGGGAGCACAGTGCTTGTTAGGTGGAGGTGATTTCTTTAAGCTCTAAAAGCTATTTGAATTTTATTCTTAAACTTGGACCCCTTTACATTTCACTGTAACGTATACACGTATCAGGTTCCTTTCACTTCTTTGGTTGTTTTTGTTGTTTTGATGTTGTTGTTTGTTTATCTTTTTGAGACAGGGTCTCACTATGCGGTTCCAGCCGGCCTTCGGGTCACTCTGCAGCCCAAGCTGGTCTCAAACTCACAACAGTCCTCCTGCTCAGCCTCCAGAGTTCTGGAACTGCAGGTGGGCACCACCACGCCCGGCTTCCACTTGCTTGCCTTGCTTCACACTGCATGAGGTCTTTCCATTGATTCCGTGAGTGTCTTTCCTGCGCTTGAGGGAAGCTCAGCCATGGTTTTCAATGATTTCTTTTTCTCTTTTTGCCTCTATTCAGGTGCGAGGTGACCACTTCTGTCTTCCTTACGTCCTCTACTCAGGTGCGAGGTGACCACTTCTGTCTTCCTTACGTCCTCTACTCAGGTGCGAGGTGACCACTTCTGTCTTCCTTACGTCCTCTACTCAGGTGCGAGGTGACCACTTCTGTCTTCCTTACGTCCTCTACTCAGGTGCGAGGTGACCACTTCTGTCTTCCTTACGTCCTCTACTCAGGTGCGAGGTGACCACTTCTGTCTTCCTTACGTCCTCTCTTTGTAACGGATCCGCATTTCTAACCCTTTCGCATTCCTCTAGGAAGGGCCTGGACGGCATCACCCAGCTTTCTGATTCCTCCCTGCCTTCCGGTGACTCACCGTGCCCTCTCTTGAATTCCTTGGTTAAGCCATCGTACTTCACGCACTCAGGGTTTCCAGTGGAATTTTTATTTATTTATGTGTCTGTGTTTTCAGTGCACAGTGTTTACATTTCCTGTGAGGGATGGTGTGGCCTGGACACATCGTCTTTCCTTTCCCCTGCCCTTCCCTCCTCTCCACCTTTCTTCTGTCTCTTGGTCCCCTGCCCATCTGAGAAAGCTCCATCTCCCTACCTCCTGTAACCTATCTTTCATTTTTCTCTTTATATGTACTTTGGGTTTCTCACCTAGGAGAAACCGTGCACTATTTAATCTCGAGTGTCTGATTATCCCACTTAACATTATGGTCTCAAGGTCCATCCTTTTTCCTACAAATGACCATGTGTAGTCTCCTCTGTGGCAAATGCCACACAGTGGAATTTATCCATTGGTCTGTTCCAGGGCAAATGGGCCACTTCCAAGGGTTATCTACTATGAGTTGCATTGCTATAAACATAGGTGTGCATGGGTCACTATACTGTGATGTCTTTTAACTCTTCTGGGAAGATACCTAGAAGGATAACAGCCGGGTCAGGTGGAATTTCTAGTGTTACTTGTGTGAGGAATCGCTGTGCATTTTCTGCTTCCTGTGTCCAATTTCTTACTTGCATCAGTTAGGAAGTACTTAGGCTGTGACAGAAGGGCCAGCGAGCAGCAGCTGAAGCAAACGTCCTTCTCACAAACAGGGCAATGCTGGGGCTGGCCTGGCCCCTGAGGGCCCAGGTCTCTGCCACCACTGCCCTTCCTTCCTGAGTCCAGTGGTGTTCGCCCTCCAGCCAAGGAGGTGGGAACAAGGGACAGCAAGGAGGAGGACAGTTTTTGTTTGCTTAGAACATTTATCTTTGGCTTTACTAGGATATAAATAATTTTGTAATTATGCAGGATTTCATTCAGAATTATTACATCTTTGAGGCAAAAACCAATCTCATATTAGATTCTAATTTCTCTCTCTCTCTCTCTCTCTCTCTCTCTCTCTCTACATATGAAGTGCATTTTTATAAACTCTTTACTTTCATTAAGAAAAGTACCAGTGGGAGCAGGGATACAACTCAGCAGTACGGCACTTGTCTAGCAAGCATGAGGTCCTGAGTTTGAGTCTTGATACAAAACAACTCAATGTCCAAGACAGAGGTACTTTATTACTATTCATTACATTTGCCTGAGTCCAGGTATTATCAGTTTGTAAAGTATTTCATATACGTAACAGTGAGTGTGCTAAAATACAGAAAAATCAGATGAATTTGCATTCCTAAGACCAGAAAACTAAGAACAAAGTCATTAATGTGTGATGATTAACAGAAACACAAGAGAGAAGGGCGAGTATGACCTGACAGGGAAATCTGCATTCTCGGGGAGGAGAAAAGCAACAATTCTAACCAGAAGTCACAGAGGAAAACATAGGAGCAGGCTCGGGGAACTGTGCTCGCCACACAGAACTCAGAGTGAGAGGAAAACACTGTGCAAAGAGGACACTGTGCCACGTGGACTGCCCTTAGCATGGACCCCTTAGCACTGGGCGTGACGTCAGTGCCTGGCTTTACTCTCAGACATGCCACAAGGTCACCTCAAGACAGGACCAGCCGGTCCTGCTGCTTCTCCTGCCAGCCAGCATCACAGTCAGTGTGGCACAAGCCAGGAATTTATCCATCCTGGCCTATCAGTGTCACCCAATCCAACCGCAGCATTGAAGGGGCTCCCAGAGCTGCAGGACACCTAGGCAGCCCGCTCTGGCTTCCAGCTGGGAATCGGGACAACGCAGGAGACCACCCTGGACTTGCCGCCCCTCCCAGCCTCTCAACACCCCATGAAGGGGCTCCCCAGGGGGCAGAGGCAGGCAGAGAAAGGAGGGAAACCAACAGGCATCAAACAGCACTGTCCTGAAAGTCCCATGCTTTGTGCTTCAGGCTTTTGGGAAGTAAAGGAGGAGAAAGGAGTCATTGTCAGAGAGAAACTGCTTGCAGATTTCGGGAAAAGTGAGGAGTCAGTACTAATTTTTTTTTTTTAATCAAGGAACATTTTTTAAAAATTTTATTTAAAGAAAGACAATACAAAACAGAAAACGGGTAGAAATAGTACATACTTTCAAAGAAAAAGAAATAAACAGTAATAAATCACTAGCTGATGTTTACATATTGTCCTCTTACAAATAATTGTTCAAGATACAAAAGTGGAACATAGAGATGGAAATTCAAACAAGAAGACTGCAAATAGTTCTGTTCAACTATTTAATAAAATCTTAGTAATATGGGTATCAATCCTGTACATTTAAACATACATTTATCCGTATCTTCATTAATGTTGAGATTAAACAAACCAAAGCAGACTAAAATCACTCTGAACAAAGAATAGTAGTATTGCTGGATTTCACATCATGACACTCGGAATCAGCTTTGGGTTCTGTAGTGCCTTTTTTTCCTTCAATGTATTTGTTCATTTCATCATGTGTCATAAGATCAGTTCTCGTAAACTGTTTATAGGTTTTACGCAAGTATAAGTCTTAACATGTATTTCTATCCTTTTTATATTAGAGGGAGAAACAGAACAAAGCAGGATAATACAAAACATATTCCTATAGACACTTAAAACTAAAAAGACATATAAGACTGCTGTATAAGGAGTTCTACCATGATTACTGAGTTGTATCTTGTTATCATCAATAGAATTGGCTATATCATCGGATAAAGTATAATTGCATATATCAGTACATAAAACTATCAATAGAAATACAACTTTGTAGGTAGTATAGAACCACAAAAACAGGTAGTAATCAAACCAGGATGAATTCTAAGTTGACTATCTCAGGGAGCCTCTGTAGCCTGCTGTTATCTATCCACCATCTTTACCAGGAGGAGTCAGTACTATTAAATGTTTTAATTTTCCTTTCCTCTTTGTCCAGCCATGGGTTTGATGAAATCCTTTCTCTTTGCCTCTGGACTGTTTAAAAAAATTAAAGTCCTGCCTATGCACTCTCTCATAAGAACTTACATCCAAGGAATGTGATTTTCAGTAAATCATTTGAAGCTGAATTCACCCAGGAAACTGGTGCTCTGTGTCACCCTCCTAAGCCTGTTGGAGGGGTCAATTGAGTGACTTTGATCCCCTTTTCCTTTCCTCCTCCTCTGGAGCTCACCAGGGGTCAGCACACAGCACATGGGGCCACACAGGTCTCTCAAGGTTCTGCTGGTGTCCCAGGAAGAAAGGCGACGGCAGACCAGGGCAGAAAGCAGCCTGTGAGGGTCCTGAGAGCTGAATACAGGAAATACTGTCATGATAGCATGTCATGGTGACAGTACATGTTAGCATTATTACAAAGTGTCCACATTTAAAGTCATTCTCTTCACAACGTGGAACACTCCCAGCTGGCCACACAAACGTAGCTTAATAGACAGCAAAAGCCTTCACAATTACAGCCATGGGCATGATTTCTCCACATAAAGAGAATGTCCCATCCTTCTTCAAAAGACAGAGATCAGGGCAATGGCAAACCAAAAGACCTGGATAACAGAAGTCAATTGTTCTTTAGCACAATGAACTCATTTGGGCTGATTTTGAAGAGCAGCTACTTTAGAAAACCAAAATTCCCATAAAGGGAGAAGTTAGTTCAGGCACAAAGAAAAAGTTTTAATGAATGAACAAATAAGCATTAATTCCTAGTCTAGTACAGGGGGAAGAAATTTTTTGTTTGTTTGCTTGTTTTAATTTTTAGCTTACTAGCACTGTGAAGATGAAGCTTTTGAACATTGTTTACAACATGTAAAGTCTGAAATCTGTGAAATGGAGCTGGATTGTATTTTTTTATACCGATTTCAGCAAGGCACATGAACTCAGCATGTTACAGCCTCCTGTGGGCCTATGAGTTATTCTTCTTACAAGGCAATTCAATTCCTAAAAAATGAGCATGTACTGTTCTTAGTGATATGAAGCCTGTGATGCGTGCAGCATCTCCTATGTCAGTAAAACAGAAATGTTGGAAGTTATGAGTTTAATAAATGTCTGGGGCATATATGTTTTGGAGAAACTTTGGAAGCCTAAAAAGATTAAATTACCTAAGCAACACAGTTTTTTGTTTTTGTTTTTGTTTTTGTTTTTTTCCTACCTATCATATTTTATTTTCGAGGATTTCTTTTCTGGAGTTCCTAGAAAAAAGATCAGTTGAAGCAAAATCTGTAATTCAGAACATAATTTCCTTCATTCAAAGCCAGAGCAGAATGAGGGTCATATTCAAGGCCGGGAAAGGTATTGATTCCATTTGAGCAAACATCCACAGCAATTATACGTGCAAGGCCCTGGGCAGGGTCAACGTCACCCAGGATAAGAATCTGTCTACTACATGACCCAGTTCTTAGAAACCCTTGAATGAGAGGAAAAAAGTCCTGTACGCAGCCTCTGATGTATGCACAAAATGTTGACAAAATATTATGAGTATAGAAAATGATTTTTAGGAGCTCTATAAAAATTCTTAGGAATACCCAAACACTCAACATGCAAAACCATGAGATGTGTCCAGCCGAAGGTCCCAGGGGCAAGGCTTTCCCTAATATCCTGCCGGATACCATGCCCAGGTATGAACCATAGATGATTCCTGGTGATCAGACAATCCCACTTACTCTTTTGTACTTCCAAGTAGTAGCTAAGGGCACATGGAAAGTGTTTTAAAGTCTAAATCCCAAGATGAAGTAGCCTGGCACAATGTTTGAATACACAGGGTTTGGAGTGAAAACTGAGTTCAAATTCTTCTGTAACACCAGCTATTTGATCTAGGAACAATGACTAAACTTTTAATGTCTAATTTTCCTTTCCTGACTAAAAAAAAGTATAGCATGTTCATACAAAGGCCGTAAATGTGGAAGGAGTAATACGTGTAAGTTTCTTATCCTGATTTCACAATTTAAAATATCTAAAACATGTATTTTATCACAAGTTTTATAAACTATTTGCTGATAATGCCCACTATTTGTACTGCAGTTTATCATTTCCTAACACAAGAAAATTGCACACCAAACACTATCGAAAGTAGCAGAGGACATTCCTGGGGGAAAGGTCAGGAAAAGGAGCCCTCCATTAAGGGCTGCATTCATAAGGAATTCATTTGGGGGACAAATGTGGGAAATAAACCAACCTTCTGCACAGGGACAGAGGAGGGGAGCCACTCCACCTGGTGGAGGGCACACGCCTGATCCCCGTGACATCACGGAGCTCAGAGGTCGTCTCCTAAAGGTGACTCATGAACCCTCCCCTCAGAATCCACCCTGTGTGTCTCTGTGCCACAGCCCAGGCCTTCCTGTGGCCTGGACTTGCGGTGTCTTGAAAGGCTCTGTGCAGGCTGCTGGTCTGCAGCCTGTGGCACCATTGAAGCCTGTGGTACTTCATAGGATGAGGCCAGTGAAAGGCCATGTAGCCATTGAGGGAACTGCCCTTGCAGGAACACTAGGTTGCAGTCCTGTCCCATATCTCTTTCTGCTTCTCAACCTGTATTAGATGAGCAAGGTGCCTCGCCATGCACTCCTACCACGGGGCAATGCCCACCACATCCCCAAGCAACAGAGCCAGGTACCATGGACTGACACCTCAGAAGCCCTGAGCCCAGATGAATCTTTTCCCTTCCTAAGTCAATTCTTTCGGGCCTCTGTCACAGTGAGGGGAGCTGACCAACACCTCCCTTCCCTCCAATCTCCAGTCACCCTGCCTCTTCCCCCAGCAAAGGAGGAGATTACCTGCATGAGATACTGATGGGGGAGAGGCCTACAGGAGACGCAGAGAGACTGGGGACACCTGATTCTGAAGACCTGGCCCTACTCTGCCAAAGCAGCACCCACTCCCTTCCTGCTTGTCACCTGGCACAGCCTTTCTGATGGTTAATTTGTTCTCTAAGAACCTTTTCAACCCCTGTAATTTTAGCTAAAAGGACTTTAGAGGCCACCACATCAACAATCAATAATCCCAGAGACAAAGTTCCATTTGGAAATGAACAAAACACTTGTAAGTTAGCTCCTCTCCATCCCTCTTGGTTTTGCCAGGAAAAGTGCAAGTTTGAACTTCACTGTAGAGTGTGAGTAACTGTGCCAACAGCATGGAGACACTGTCACACAGATACTTCTTCCTGGGTGCACAGCCCAGACTCTCCAGATGGGGGAGGTTGGAGTGCCAAGGAGAGGGATCAAGGGCAGCTGTGGAGAGCAGCAGAGCTTCCTCCGTCTCCTACAGCTCTGGGCTGCTGGCTGGAGAGCTCTTTGGGTTTGGAAGACAGCAAGATGGGGAAGAAGATGGCCATCTGGCTAGGGGTTTCCTGTGTAGGAGGGGTTGTTGGCTCATTTGTTTTAAACTCCTCTGGATTAAGTTTACAGCAACACATAGCTCATGCTTATACTGCGGTCAGTAAAATAGTTTAAGATTCTTGCAGTCAAACTGGTTTCTGAATTTACTACCCTAGCACAGAGAAATCAACAAGCTGGTAGCAATTAAGAGGAGATTCTGATACAGTGAACAATTTGTTTACTTGCTTATAGTACCTTCGATGGGTCATAAAAGGGATATGATCTCATAAAACTGAATATTACATTTCCATATGCACCAAAAAGCAAGCCAACAACCACCCTAGCTCCCGCATAAGAGGGGCTGAAACTCATCATCCTACCAATGGGTGTAGAAATGGGAGCGCCAGGGCTCACAACATCAGTTTGTAACTTTGCCTTCTAAGAAGTCATAATCTAGTGATGAGGCAAGAGACGCTCATCCACGGGAGAATAAGAAAAGGGGTCAAGCACCGCGCACTGTGCTCTGAGGATGACATGCTGTGGACATTCAGGAAAGACAGATATGGTCCATGTGTGGGTACAGGCTACTTTCAGAAGGCTTTGTGGAAGAACTCCCTTGTCAGAAACTCCCTTGGCATAGCAGAAAGGAGGCACTGAGGTCTCAGTGAGGGTGGAAATGGAGGATGCGGTGGAGACCCACCTGTCACCCCTCAATCCTGAGCTCCCACCCCACTTTCAGGATTTGTTTCAGGTCCTAGGGAAACAAACACCAAATTCCTTTGTCCTCCTGCAAGGTTCCTCCAGACCACTCCTGAGCAAAAAGAGAAAGGCTTCCCCAGCGACATTTCAGGAATCCAGTCTGTCATGGTTTATGTCATACATTTGCATTGTGCATTTGTGCTTGGTTCATTGTCTAGCACTTAGATTGATAATGTCAATGCCACACCTACCTAGGGGTGGAGTCAGCATACAGTGGAACGGCTGGGAAAAGGCAGGTCTCTCTCTCTCTCTTGCTGTTTCCACCTTGCTGTTGGCTGCCATTAACTGCGGCCCCACCATGCCACCCTGCCGTAGAGCTAAATGAGTATAGACTAAAACCTCCAAAAGCTATAAAAAATAAACCTTTCCCTTCCCAACTTTGGGCATCAGGTATTTTGTCTCAGCGACGAATAAAAAGTAACTAAGACACAGCCCCACTGGAATAGCTTATCATTTGTGCAGCCCTGAGCAGATCCTGTACCTCAGTGCTCATCTGTGACATCGAGAGAGGATGGGGCCAGGGCTAACTGCTTCACAGAGTCAAAAGGCCATGAGCAGAAAGCACCTCAGAAATGTGGGAAGAGAGACACTCAGGCTCATCACCATTGCCATTACCATGGCAGAAGGAAAGGGAAGATTTACAGCTTAGATGACTCCACTTATCTTCAGGCCACAGCGCTGAGTATTTGGAATAAGTTCTTTCCTTCTCACCAAGATTTGGGGTTGTGGGTACAGAGTACAGAGATGGTTACGGGGTTCACTTATAGTCAGATAGCCACTGGGAGCAATTGGAAGACTTCCTGGATGATGCTATCTCTTCCCTGATTGGTGGTACCCACTGTTTCCAAGGCAACTCTCCATCCATTCTGCACTTGCCAACTTTATGTTTCCATTGACATTACGTCTTTTTAACAGCAAGAGACATAAAATCCAGTAAAGTAGAAGCATTTTAATAAGCAGAAGAATCACTTAAACTGAAACTTTTGGGTTTCTGAAGACCCTAGACTTTCCAATAATAGAAAGAAAGAAAAACAGACACTCATAAAATTCCTTAGGAGAATACCAAAGAGACCATTGCCCCGTGAATCCTCTGCCACTTTTGAATGAGCATTTACTTCAAGTTCCTCTAGATGAGAAAGTGCATGCTTTGAGTTCCCTTTTGCCAAACACACATCCTTAAGCCCATCTCTCCCTCCTCCTTCATGACTGAGCACTATCCATCATTTGGCCATCGGTCCAGAGGATGCTCAGCAAAGAGCAGCATTTCAGGACTCAGCGTGAGCTCTCAAGAGGCCTGTAGGCAGTGTTACTTTCCCAGCTTTTCCACCTGGATCACTGAAGCTCTGCATAATTGATGGATCTAGTGCTGCAAGGAGTGTAAGTGACAGAGCCAGGACACACACACACACACACACACACACACACACACACACGTGTCTAGAGCACACGGACTCAGCCACAGCCTGGTGGTTATGATCTCATACCACAGATTCGTCAAAGTTCTCTAATTTTGATGAGTTATTCTGGCTCTTCATTTGGATTCCTCCAGAGTGAGAGCCTGGGACACGAACTTGGATGCAGGCATTGATCCCAGAATGCAGGAGTAAACAATGGGAGAGCGGAAAAAGCCCTGTGAGTTGTGTCTCAGGACCCTGGGAAGTTCCTCTAGAGGAGAATTCTCTTTTCCAGTGAAAGGTACTGGCTGATATTGGTCAGCAGGACTCCACTGCAATTCCACATTTCCCCTAGTAAGCCACAGCACATGTGCAAGGTGGCACTGGGGTGGGGTCAGCTAGTAACCAAACCCCAATGGTAGCAGGATAACGGGGCCCCACAGGAAGGTTTATGATGGTTTTCTCTTTGTCATAACTCTGGGTGCCTGGTTTTCTAAAAAGATCACAGCAGTACATCTCAAAGCCAGGTCCTGCTCCTTCCTCAGCCCCCTTGGGGACAGTGCTGACTGCCACTCCCAGCTGATTCCAGCAGCGCAGGCCTGGAAGGGGCCACAGACACTGCAGTAACCAAGCCCTTCCAGTAGAAAGGCTCCCTCCCTGCAGGAGGCAGCCACTCACTCACAGCCTGCAGTTCCCAGACTCTGTCATCTGCTGTCCTCTCTCCTCTCTACTCATGCAGGCATTCAGGAGACCATTTATAGATGTGACAACATCCACTGCTCTGCAGCAGACCTTACAGAAACAACCCATTTCTGAAAACAAACATAATCACCGAGGTGAAAGGAAGCAAGCGTCTAGTTTGGAAAAACTACTTCTAAGTTAACAATGAGAACTGACCCTTCAGCTCAACTAGCTCCATTGAGTTGTCTGAATTACCTCACCATTAATAATAATATCCACCTAATGCTTGTGAGGAGTACATTTTCATTCTACGTTATTGATTATTGTATAAAGACAGAGCCCTCACGCTATAAATCACTAATTCCTTCCTTACCTCCTGACATCTTGCACAAGTTCTGAAGAGGTGCCATCTAATTTCTTTCCTAGATTCGCGTCTTCCCGCACACTCCACTGTCCTCAGCTGTGACCACTGTTCCAGTGAGGCTGGAAGCAGCCTCGGGATGATGTGGACCCAAAAGTGACATGACCGCCTCATCCTTCAACGGGTCGCCGTGCACTCTGCAGGGAGAGAATAGACTGCACAGGATCAGGTTGGGTAAGACGAGCTTGGCATGCATGGTCCAGAAGCCAATGGTCCGGCCTGCGCCATGCGTGCCAAGCTCCTCTTACCCAACCTGTTCTCATCCTTCTAAGACTAGGCCCCCTTCCATAGGTCTCCCTGCCCCTGATCCTGCGCACTGGAACAGTGCACTTTGTTTCTACTTTGAGAAATTTTGTATCCCTAAAGGCTTGGAACTGTGTGCAGATCTAGGGCACTCTGGAAGTGTGGTGTGGGCTCCCCGAGGGCGGAAGGGCCAATCGGAAAATGATGCCCTGAGATGAGGGTCAAAGGGAGAAGCACGAGTAACATCCATTGCGTGTTTCCAGGCCACTGAAGAGATGGCTCCTCTTAATCATGTCAAAGGTGGGCTTGAGTATTTCTCATTTTCCCTCTGAAGTGCTGAGTCATGATTCACACTTCTGCCTGCTAGGGATAAATCTTGGAGGGTGAGACGCAGAAACCATTGGTCCTTCACTTATAAGCAAGAGAGGTCTACTTTTAAAAGACCTCACTCGTTCTAAGCCTCATCCTCTGTGGCATGATTGTTTCATGTCCCATAATTCAGGTTAACTATGACTCAAACTAGTCTCAGTTTTGAGCTTTTAGGATTCTGCTTCTAAGAAAGACTGATACACAATTTCTCAAAGTAGAAACAATTTAAGGGTGAACCCATTGGACATATTGCATGTATCATTTATAAATGGAAAGAGAGAGAATACCCAAGTTAACCAAGAAAAGACTTTATTGCTTGCAAAGTCAGATGTTTTATTTGAATCTAGGAAGCCATACAGTCAGTCCCACTTTTGAGTTCTTCACCTACCACGAACTTTAATCCTACCACAAGCTTTCATTCCCATTTGTGCATCCGCCCCTGGGCAGGGACCCAAGTGGGCTGTGACAGAGGAACAATGGGACTTGAGGCAGGAAATTAAGGTGCGTTCACAGGTATCTGTCACACCCCCACTAGGACTGTCTTCTCCCTCAGCCTTTCCATGGTTATAAACCACATGCCTACCAATCCCTTTTTTAAGACTTCCGAGCGTGAGACAGAAAGAACACTATATCAATGCCCATTTAGGAAACTTAATTTTACCTTATGGTATCTTATGGAGTCTATAATCCCATGAATATACCCTGTAGCATAGCTAAGTCACCTTTGGGAGTTAGAGGATGTCGGTTCCTCACTGGCCCCACCTAATTCTAGTGCATCCCTGTGATAAAAGAGAGCTCTACCTTGTCACTCTGTCAATGTGGAGCTATTGCAAGGGCGGCTGGCTTTTATTTTTCTTGATCTTTTCATTAATTGATCACAAAACTAAGTCTGTGTGCTCTAACAATAAATTTATATTTCCAAGCAGATGCCAGCTTCATAAGAAATATTATCTGATCTTTGCCTTTTAAAAATACCTTCAAGATCTATTCCCTGATTAATATATCACTGAATTTATATTTCTGCTCTGATATAGGTGCTCCATGTAATTCTGCCTTAAGCTACATCATAAATCATCCCTCCCAATGATCCGTTCAAGTAGAAAGTAGTTTACATGATGGATAATACAGTATTCTCCAGAGTCCGATTATCTGGGCTTCGACTGCAACTCCATCCCTTGGCGCCTGTGTGATCTTGGGGAATTGACTTCAAATCTGGGAACTTTTACTGCCATCCAGAGAAAAATAATAGTACACATGTCCGAATGTCATTCTGAGGATAAAGAAGCTGATTCATGTCAGGCATTTAGCATGCAGTGCCTGGCAAACAGGAAGAAAATTCAGTGAGATTCATGTTTACTAAAATTTTATAAATATTCAGACTGAGTTGATTCCCAGTTCTTCCACACAGAAGTTCTTTATCTTCTTTAAGACCCAGTTTCTTGATTTTTGCAAAGAGACCCGCCCTACCTCCAGTGAGTTTACAGTTTTGTACTTCTTCGCTTAGGACTGGCAATCACAGTTTGTCATGGGCTGGACAGCCTGGGTTCTTTGCAGAGAGCACGAAGGACTCCTCACATCCCTGACTTCCCTAGGGATCTCTGAAAAAAAGGCACCTGTTACTCCCTTGTCAGCTTGCCAGGGCACCAGAGAGAAGTGCCACTGCATGGCAGACTTCGCAGAACTTGATTCTCTCTGCTCTGGAGAGCAGAAGTCCAAGACCAAGGTGCCAGCAGATATGGTGGCTTCTCTGGCCTCTGCCTTGGGCTGGTAGACAGCACCTTCTTCCTGCATCCACCCTGAAGTCACTGCAAGCACCCCCACCTTTTCTACAGGACGCCAAATCTTAAATACTTGTGAGAGGCGCCTTCATCCAGTGCTTCACGCCGGAATTTTAGAGGATCCTCTATGGCCTGTAACACGGCCTTTTCATTTTTGGAATCCTTTTCATCACACACAATTCACCCACTTTATAGGACACACCTAAAGAAACAGGGCTTTGGATGCTGCAGATAGCACAATTTGAAGCAGAGAAGTACACTCTGTAAACTTTCCTTTACCCTCCTTGGTTTGTAGGTGCTGAAATTTTAAGTAATAATTCTAAAACCACATCCACCTTAATAAAATGTTACAACAATAAAGCCAATTCTATACACTCACTCACTTTTACAGTGTTTTGTTGGGTGTGGCAGCACATTCCCGTAATCCCAGGACTCAGGAGGCTGAGGCAAGAGGATTGCCATAGCGAGATCCTGACTCATGAAAACAAAAGCAAAAATGTTTACTGTATCTATGAACAACGAGTCTGTGAGCAAGCTAGTAAAGAAAAATAAGAATACTGGGTTGTGAGATTTTTTTACTGTAAGAAGAAAAATAAATTTTGCCAAAATGCATCACTAATCTGCCCAAAAAAGTTGCTTCTGAAGATACTCTAGCTTGTCCACCTCACAGCCTTGCTTGCCCTTGGTAGGCCACTAAGCTGTATCCACTTCTCTGCAAGGAATCTGGGCTGTCCAGCCCACGGACAAACTGGGACTGCCCCATCCGCCAGTCCCAACAGCCCCAACCCCTTTCTCTGGTAAGCAGCTCAGGGATGGACCAGAGAGTCATGGAGCCTCCAAACAGGTCTGGAGAAGGGCACAGGAATGGGGCGCTCCCTTTGACACCACAGTAGAAGTGTTTGATTCTTGAGGCTTCTGTGCCCATCTTGCCCTCCAAAATATTTTTTCCCTTAAAACTAAACACCAAATAAGAAAATAAAAGGCTTCCCAAAATATGTCACCCTGAAATGTGGCCTTTGGGCTTGAGGATTATTTTGAACTGAAGGTCCTTGGAAACAGTCGGTGCAAAAGACACACTGACCATGTCAGGATGGGGGTCATCCGCTCAGCGCCCCAGGTATCTGGCTCTGTGCTGCTCTCCACCCGGCTGCTGGGCTCTGAAGGATGTATTCTGGTTTTAATTTTAAAGAGGGTAAAACAGAATAAAACCAATCAAAACAAACCAGTGTAAGAAATACAGGCCTAAAAACATTACCAAATCAACAATAATTACCATAATGCCTTTTGATGTCTTCAAGACAGCTGCAGATAACTTTGGACATGATAAAAATGAAACAAAACCGAATAGAATAGAAAAAAATAAAAACAAAACAAAGAATGTAATAAAGGACTTCAAAACAAGCCAATAGTAAATCCAAAATTGCTACCATAATATATCTTGCTATCATTGAAATAGCTGCTCCTGCCATCAGATTTAACATAAGCAAAACAAAAGAGAATAAAACCCAACCCAGCAAAACAATGCAAATGATCTAGGATTCCTAAAACAAGACCATAGGGAATCACTAACGGCTGCAGCCCTCAGCAGGAGATCGCCCTAGATGCCACACTGCATACCACTAGCCTCTGAACCCATGGTCAGACCACTGGCCCTAGACCTGCAGTGTTAGTGAAACGCCAAAGCACCACAGACATCCAGTTGCATCTTACCTTCATAGTTATCATCACAGCCTGTGTTTCTCCTGATAAGATGGTCTCCTATGGCGAGGTGGAGGTGCTGGGGAGTGTGTGGGGTGCTACTTCCTGTTTGCTAGCCCGAGCCCTGCAAGATGCTGGGGCCTGGCTCTTCCAGTGCGGCAGGGGTGTGTGCGGGTCGTTGCTGCCCAGACTGGGTTAGCTTGCTCGCTGAAGCAGCGTGGTGCATGCACCCCTGCCAGACTGGAACAGGCAGGACCCAGCCTCTGCCCATGAGTCAGCGCCATTCGCTGATCCAGGGTAGAGGGATGTGTTCAGGTTTTGTGAGCTCCAGGTCCACATGTTCCAACAGGGCTCTAACCTGCGTGTGAAGCCTGTGCCTTTCTCCTGCTAATCACTGTGTCGTGGCCACTCTCAGACCCAAGAAGAGATCTCAAGATGGGGAAATAGTACTTTGTCTTCTCTGCCAGACAGTCTGGATCGAGGTGACTCCCGTGGTTGGATAAAAAACAACAAGCAGCTGAGCAGCTTTGAGTTTCAGAAAGGGGTTTGGAAGAGTTGACCAAGATGCCCACACTTAGGGGAAAGACAGGACACTGATCCTCTTTTGAAGAAGCATTATCATTGACTATTATTCTTTTGCTGAATACTCCTTTTATATTAAACAAATATATTGAACTGTGAAAGGTCACTGTTTAGCAGATACTCAGGCAGTGAACTTTCCAGAAAGGGTGGATGGCATCTCTGCATTGGCTGCACCTGGCCCAACTCTTTGAGTATCACACCTGCAGTTTAAAAATGGCATGGAAAAACAGCAGTCCAGCAAAATCCCTCTCTGGTCTAAATGAAGGACAGTAAAGTATTTTCAATGTAGGACTCAGTCTACATTGTGTGCAGCCCAGAAGAAAAGCCAGGTCTTCACCCTGTCCTCTCCACCATTTCCCAAGGTAACCAGGGCCTCTATCTGTAAGGGTGAGGGGCAGGAGAGCCCTGCATCCTCCTACCGTGCCACCAGACACCACCAGATACTCAGCAACTGTCTGAGTCACTTTCCTAGTTGCCAGCACCAACACCCAACACCCACAATTTAAGGGAAGAGAGGTTTAGTTTGGCTCACAGTTTGGGGAGATTTGAGTCCACAGTTAGCTGGCTCCAGGGCAGAACTTTGAGGTGTATAATGGTTGATACACTGTGGCAACTTGAAAGTTCAGAAGTTTAACTAAGTGACTCATCATGGGGCCGGGATCCTCGCTTTATAAACATCCTCATCTTGTGCAAGAGGAGGGCAGGGAGACAGTGTGAACGCTACACCTGCCCTGTGGGGTGGTAGCTCACAACAGACGGGAGGAAGACAGGAGGCTTGCTCCCCCTACCTGTTTTGTTCTTGCTGCTTTCGCTGTCTTCTGCCACCTAGAACAAAAGGCACCAGCTGATTATGGACTGAAACCTCCACAAACTGTAAGCTCAATAAGCCTTTCCTTCCTTAATTTTGGGTATCAGGTATTTTGTCCCAGCAATGAGAGAAAATAGCTAAGACAGGACGGAAAGCTCTGGCAGAGGAAAATCTGCTCAAAGCGTGGTGTCCAGGGAGCAGAGACTAAATGGAGAAGCTGAGGAGGGAGAAACACTCCTCCAGGTCACACCGCCTCTTTCAATCAGACCCTCTCGCCTAACACCAGGTATAATTGACCCCATGATCCAGTCACGTCTCAGGACCTCATCTATGATTCCAAGAGGCTTTAAGGAATGCCCAGATATAAACCATGATAGCAAGCATCTGGGAAACTCCAGGCCCAAAGGCTTGCTCGCTCCTGGGTCTTCACTGCTGCAGAGCCTAAGGATTATTGTTAAATGGTTGGATAAATGAACGGGAAAAGATGACAGAGCTACCACTATATACTAATCTCTTCTCCCCCCCCCCATTAGTATGTGTATTATTATTCTTCATTGTACAATGTGATTTTTTTCCTGCTGTAAAATGATTCCACCAATGATGACCATTAAATTCCCAGTTCATTAACTAGATTTATCTTTCTAATTACTCTGAATTCACCTGGGTTTCAGTATTTTTCATGTGTTTCCTGTAATAGCCTTCCTTGACCCTACCTGTTAGCTGCGATCTGGCATCATTTCCCAGCAGGCTACTTTAACTGCATTCAATAAATAAAACTATGATTTTTCACAACTCCTAAGAAAGATGAATTTACCCTCATTCTGTTTCCAAGGAGCTGGGAACAAAAGACATGACAAAATAGGTCTGAAAAAAATGATCATATTGACTGTGCACTGGAACCCAGTAATCACATGAACCAAAGTAGAAAGGTGATTGGAGACCTTTGGGGGCAGAATTCATTACCCTAAAGAGCTGTCTAGCGGAGAGAACAGTTCTTCTTGTTCAGTGAGAGGAAAATTTCACAGTTTAGTAGGGATCATTTTTAGAGCATCTGTAGCCTAGCATGCCAGAATAGTGTATCACGAAGTTGAAATCCAAGTAATAATTTACTTGATAATTTATTGGCTTAGACATATTACTATGTGAGTAAGCAATGAACATTTAAGATACTAATTTTAATTGAACCCAATGCTTCACATTGAACTACATCCCCACCCTTTTTTTGATTTTATATTTTGAGACAGTCACTAAGTTGCCTGTGCTGAGCTTAAATCCTCCTACCTCAGCCTCTGAGAATGTCGGGACTTCTTCTCTAGTCCTGAAGGAACATGGTAAAGACCCTAAAACTGATAAGGATGGGTGAGATAGTTTAGTGGGCACCAATTGATAACTTTTGCTGATTCAAAAGCTTTTAGAGCCTTACCACCTCTTGGAACAAAGCAATTTGCCTTACACACAGATGACTATTCTTTATCTTAGAGAACATACTTTGAGGGGACCAGGTTACAGGTGCAAAAGCAAATGAAATATCCACCTTCTGCAGTCGCCTAGAATGGTTTCCAGCTCCTGAGCCTTCATGGAGACCTCTGAGGCCAGCAGAAAGGACGAAAGATGTGAGTCCTCAGAAACAGCCACGAAGGGAAAAATGGTTGAATCTGATAGATGGCAATTTAATGTTTTGAGTACACTTACACCCAATATTCTTTAGACATGCTGTAGAGCAAGAATAAACAAATTAGCATGACAAAGGAGAAGCCGTGTGCCATGCAAGAGAGTACAAATTCTGGGTCAGACGCCTCTCATTCCAAGGCCCACCTTCCCCATTTGCACTGGGAGAACTGAGACACCTCAGGGACCTGCAACTGTAGGAGCTAAACAAACCTACCTCACAGTGCTGCCTTAATGATTCCACAAAATCACTTATGTAAAGTGTTTCCCAGAGAACTTGTAGTTATTAAGCACTCAAGAAATGGTGGTGTTTGTGATTTTACTAAAAATAGTGATCTATGTTCCCATTTCATAAATAAGCACTGTTAATGTTTTAGTGAGGATTCCTGCATTTTGTTTTCAGTATTTAAATTTGCATATATCTTTGCACGATGGTGGGTTCATACTATGTATACTGGCTTTCTTAAGTATTAATAATATATTATATTGTGACCATTTTTTCATGTCAATAAAGCTCCATGATACAATTCACAATGGTTACAAAATAATCTCTTTTGCATCTCTACAGTAATTTATTTTACAACCCCCATATTGCTGTGCATGTAGATATGCTCCAATTTTCTCTATGATACATAAACAATAAGAAAATTAATTTGCACATACTTTGATTTAACCCTCATTGGGTCAAATTCCTAGAAATAAAATCACTGGGTCACAGTTTATGTGTATTCTTTAAATGTAACACATTTTGACAAATTCTTTCTCAGAAAAGTCTCTCATGGAGACTGGTTCAGATTATCTTTTCCTGAAACTTTATCTATACTGAGAATTACTATTTCATATTCAAAGGAAGAAATATTGCCAGTATAATGACAGTGAGAGGATGTTTCACTGCTGTTACTAAAATCAGGAGCACATAAAACATAAATTAAAAGCTCCTAATTGCTCTGTCCAAGCTTAAGTTCATCCTGTAGCAACAGTTCACAAACTACAACCTGTCAAATAAAATTGTGCAAGACGCCATTGATTTGTACTAGGCTCCTTTATGGGGCCCAACATCCCAAACCAATTACAGAGCCATTCGCTCAAAATGAAACTAATTAATTTAGGAGCATATTCATGTAACAAGTGGCTGAGTTTCTGATAGTTATAGCAGCAGAGCTTTAGTTAATTGTAGACAGCCAACAGATTCAAAAATGACAAACCAATTAAGCGCTGTACCTCACTTAACTCTCCATCCATAAATACTGCCTGGCTATGCGGCAGCTGCAGAATTCTTTGAACTCATTCGATTCTGAAGGCTCCCTGATTCTGGAATTGTGAATAAAAAGCCAATTAAGGTCTTGAAATTTGCTTTAGGCAAAGGAAAACTGAGACCAATTAAATTTAACAAGGTTTACTTGAACAAAAAAATTAAAAAACAAAACTTTCTAGAAGATGCAGCGTTCCAGATCAAAGATAGTTAGAGCGCCCAACCTCACCTGGTGCAATGTTATGTACAGACAGAGAGAATGAGAGATACAGAAACACCCTGGCTGGCTGCTCTCAGCACTTGTTTTGTTCAGGCACGGTATGATGGATGGGGCAGCTGATCAGTTGGCAGCCTTGATTGGCTGGAACTTGACTGCTGTGATTGGCTGAATTCAGATGCTTGGCTACAAGGTATCATACTATCAGGTTAGGTTGGTTTACATATGTAACTGGTGAAGTCCACCATGTACGGAGGCTGCTTTGGGATAAATTTCATCACCGAGGTTTAGGATAAACTCTCTTCAATTTAGTAGTAATGGCCCCTTGTCAGCCTTCTGAGTCAGTCCCATGCACCATGTGTTTGACAGCACACCTCTCAGCTCAGATCTGCCTTCACATGGCCGTGACGTAACTCAGTGGCCAAGGGCACGTGCAAGAGCCCACATTCATGCCTAGCATCGGAGAGTGAAGAAGAACTGCTTTTAAAGATAAACATTCATAACTGATTTAGCAATAAGGGACACTAACTTGATCTCCAGCGAAGGCAAATGTTATTTTTTTAAATAATTCAGTTCTTCTCATTAACCAAGATGCCTTACAAAAACCTTGTACTCACAGATTGTTACTTTTGAGTTTTGTCAAATAATTTTATGAGCATTTGCTCTCTCTCTGTTTTTATATAACTACCTGTATTATATTCTTGATTTTACAGGTTGACCCAGAAAGCCTTAAACACTGCCTGTCTAACCATTGCCAACCCCTCTTCAAGGGTGGCCATCAAAACACAGAAAACTTTATATATGCTTTAAGTATTTCACCTAGCATCCTTCACAAATACATTAGAATTAAACAAGTATATTCCTGAATTCTGCTTATCAGTGAAAATCTAGAAAGAATCATGAAGTCAAGAAGGAACCAGCAAGAGCTGTCATTTTAGCCATTATTGTTGTTATTATTGTCCTTCAGGTTTGGATTCCAGAAAAGTTTTCACACACGCTCGCACACAACTCATCTCACTGTAAAAATAAAAGCAAGTGAAAGTTGCTTCCTCCCGTAGGACACAGGTTCCTCCAGCTGGAAATCTGTCTGACCCCTCTTCACCTGGCTGTGGGCAGAACATCCCAGGCCTCTGTCAAATGAAACTGCTCCACTTTTTCAAAGGTCAGAATTCTAGAAATGGGGTTAATGCCAATCCAAATAAACCTAAATTGGCATCAGTAATTTTTTCCTCTCTTCAGTAGGAAACTAACCTTGATTCATACAAACTGCTTCACACTTAGAACTACTGAGCAAGTGTCCCCACGGCAGGAAAGAGGAATAGGTTTTTAAAGGAACAAAAAAAGTATAATAAAGAAAATGGAGACCTAATTTTACTTATTTTTCAGAGCCATTATATAGGTTATGAGAGCAAATGAGTATGTTTCAGGATAATGAAGCTGTTCCTTCACGAGTGGCAAAATGTAACAAAACGGTTCTGAACAAAAAGTAAAATAATAAAATAAAATAGAAGAATAGGACGGTGGCTCTGTCATTAACTGTGGCTTCCTTGATGACTGTGAGTTTCCAGAAGGTTTAACATAATTGCTCCTTCTGCCTTCCTGAGGCTCATTAGCACACATCCTGACACAGCCCCCTCAGCTCTGCCTCTGCTGCCACGTAGCTTGGAAATTCAAATAAGCAGGAGAGAAAATTGTCTCATCTTTATTTTATGTGCTATTAAAAATCAACCGCGAAATAATACATCAGTTTCATAACAGGAACTCCGGCCACCATAACGTAAATTTCTATGCACAGTTCATATCAGGATCAAGTAAGGACAATAAAAATATAATCCAGAAATATCAAAGTGTAATCATGATGAGCCCAACAGCAATG